ATTTTGTATTCAAGTCTGAACTTATTGTGGGTTTTTAACTTTGTGCTTATGAATGCCAAAAGGAAAATTATGTTCTCCACCCTATACCTAAAATTAATCTCCTATGTCCTTGAAATTTAATTAAACCAGGTAGTCTTTTAAATCGTTTGCCCGCCATATGTTAGAAAAAGAATAGCAAAATTAAACAAATAAATCACATCAGAGAGTAAATTAAATACACTGTTTGAAGCCAGCCTCTCTCTCATTTTCCTCATTGTTAAAACTGAGTCAATGCTGACAATAAGCATTTAAAAGTGGTCAGGACAAAACACTTCAGAATGCATTGTACAGAAAGCTGTGCATGCAAGGCATTGAATAGACTAGATTTTCTGAAGTACTTTTCCCATTCCTGATTGCTTTGGTGTGAAGCTGGTAGTATGAATTACATTCTAGACCTGATGGAATAAAAATAAAAGCTTTACAAAGATGGAAGATGAAAAAAGAAAACCATGTCAGCAGTATAAATCCCCCAATTTACCTGTTGCCTACTGTAAAGATAAGTCAAGAGAATGTAATGCCATTACTTTGTAAAGCACAGAAATTTACTAAATTCATAAATGGAAATTAAAAATTGAGTCTGTAATTCTTGTTTGATGAAAATTGTTTAAAGCTAACACCTAAGCATGTTCATTATGACACCATAAGAGAATACATATAAACCTATACTGTTGAAAAAGCATCTGTAGAAAGCATTTATCCAATCTCAGAAAATGTAATTAGTTTTCAAAGGATAATTCTTCTAAAATACTCAGGAGTGTGAACATATGAAAGGAGGAAACCAGCAAAAGAACACTTTCATCTTGCTATTTATTTCTTTTCTATTTCTCTTCCTAGCTTGTGACCCTTCTACCTATGTCTTTATCAAGGACGGATTGAGTTATGACTATGTATTATGCAAGACTAACTTCACATCCTTTTAGAAGGATAAAGTCAATGACTTCAATGGCAGTGGATTCTGCCACTCCAGTTGATGTCCAATGGCTTCCAGCTGTTCTTTGATTTTGGTTTTAAAACCTGTAAAAACATAAATAGCCTAGGATTTAAGCAAGTGAGTTCCTGTCCAGTTTAAAATGAGTAAGTTTTATGTATAATCTGCTTAAAATAATGGTAGAAATGTTTGCAAAGTCACTTTGACCAGTTTATCAGGGGCTAAGCTGATGGACAGCACAGGTTGAAGACTGTTTTTGGATGAGTCTCCATGGTAGGGTATGTCAGATGGTATGAACTGAATATGACTGAATGAAGAATGACCCTGCAACCCCACCAGAAGGTCCCTAGGTAGGTTGCCCAGTAGTTCACCAAGCCTCTAGGTTAAAGGAAGACATATCCACTGTGTTAATGGAAGGAACTTGAGGTCAGTTCTTCTTTTGAAACATGAAAAAAAAGTGTTCTTTTTGTTAAAGGATCTAAATTTGGTTTTCTTTCTCCATGACTATTCCCCAAAATCCTTTATATGTAACAGAACGTTGGAAAATAATCTGAAATGTCAAATTGTAGTTTTGCCATAATATTATGGTATTTTAGAGGCAGTTTTTTAAACTACATCTGTACTGCTAAAGTAAATCACATAGGGGATTGTATTGTTCCTGAGGCCAGCTATCACCACATGGCTCATGACTGTAGTGTGTAGTTAGTCCCCAGTGGAGCAGGTTCATCTGGGAGAAAGCTTGTTGGCATGGTCCACGCCAGAGTGAGCTATCCCACAAGCAGCGTGGAAAATGAAGTTCCAGCACTTGGGTTGACCCCCAGCTCCCCTCAGCAGCAGGGAGGAAGTCTTTCTGTCTCCGCTGTTTCATTTTGGGTGAAACCAGTTTAAGGGCTCAGAGGACCAACAGGACACAAACCTGACTCTGCAGTCTCCTGGGAAAAGTATCCTTCTAGCACATACATGCAGGTCTTGATCTCTGCAGGGTTTCGTTGTTAATTTTCAACAGTATTGGCCAATTTCATCAGAAAGGGCAGAGACATCACCACCCTGAGGTCTTTCAGGTGATGTCTGGTCAGGTGGGAGAGCTCTGATGGGGTCAGGTCCTGCTTGTGAGACTGCAGTGGCTGGCAGCGCTCAGAGGGCAGGCCGGTAGGTGCCAGACTGCAAAGGCCCTTTGCCTCCTGGGGGATTTTACTGCTGAAAATCACATGGTGGTTATGGAGCTGTGGTACCTCCAGGGCTAGAGGTGGGGCTGTAAGGACTGTGGCTTTGCTTGTTTCCAGTGGCACTTAGATGGTTGCAACAGTTACAGCTTAGGTGTCACCAGTGCTAAGTTTTTGTAAGAGTGTAATATCAAACATAGAAACAAGTGGCAGGGTAGGAACACGGTGCCATTCTCTTAATTAATTATTTAGTCTTTGAAAAAAGTTTTTCTGATACAGGTGGGAACAAGGCTACATAAACACAGACTTTTTTGCAAACAGCAAACAGTTCCATGTTGGGAGAACAGGTAACAAGCCAGTGAAGAGATTTACTGGGGAGAAGGGACTCAAATCTGCTCAAGCAGAGGAGGAGACCAAGCACATGCTCCTCACACCCCAGGTGATTTCTGTATCTCTTGTATCCAAGGTAAATCAGCATCTACTGCAAGTCCTAAATAAAAAAATAGCGTGGGGACTGGACACACTTCCCTCTGGGTGTTGTGAGAAAGAAGTGGCACAGCCAACTGTCTATGGGGGGAAAAGCAAGGCTCTAAATCCCATTGGGAAATGAGTGGCTCCTGACAGCTACAGGTTGGGAGCTTAAGACCTGAAAGTGATTCAAATATCCCTGTCCCTAATCTTAGATGGCTTCCCGCTCAAGTTACAACAGTGTAAATTCAAAAGCAGGGCTGTGACATTGAAGATGAATGAATTAGCTCCGCACGACAAAGTTGCGACACAGCAGGGCATGGTGGAAGTCGGGACTCTGCAAACCCTGCTTTGAGATCAGTACATTTTTTTTTTCCTCCCATACATCCCTCAGGAGTAACAGAAATTAAATTTTTTAAAAATGAATGAAGTACATATGGCAACACAGCTGTTGAAAATCTGTTACCCTTTTTGATCACCTCTTGTGTCCTGGGCATGCATTTATCCTTCAAACTCAGTAAAAGGGAAAGCGCTGTGAAGGAGATGGCTCCGCGTATTATTGGGGCACTCTGTGGTGTTAATAAGTCATGCAAGAGAAACCTTGCCTATAAGACTATCCAGAACTGAGGTCTCAGTGGGTTCATCTTTAAAATACTTTACATATATATAATCACTACGACAAGCAGAATTTCAGATTTTTCAATGAGGGAGTGCAAACTGTAAAGAAATAAAATTGAAAAAGGAGAGGACCGTGCTTCTTTTTCTTAATGATGGCAAGCTTTTGAAATAAAAGGGGTATAAACCTTGGATAAGTGCTCAAACAGCCATTCAATACCACAATTTTCCACCTGCTTACAAGTACTCTGTAGAATAGTCCTCAGGCTGAAGTGACAGGGGCTCCAGAGCACTGTTTACTGCCTATCCTCCTTCCAAAAGCACTCAATGTCATAAGCAGTCAGAGTGACTATTTCTTATTTGGTAGAGTTGGATCACGCTACTGGTTATTCATGTTTGTGTGTCAGCTCCAAGGTAAGGAGAGCAAGCCTGGTGATATATTCAAATGTCGGAGCTGAGGAGAGAGAAAAATGCAATTATTGAAAGAGGTGCTTCTGTGAAGGAGCAGTGATTTACATCCTGAATAGGTGTAAATTATCCTCCCTCCCCACCCCCAAGTTCAACAAATGTACTCCTTATTCAATATCTTGCTGCTGTGATGTTTTTTTTCTTGCAGTCTCTGATTCTCTGTTAAGATCAGAAGGCTGTGGTTTAGTGAGAGAGATGAGGGAGTATTCCCTGTGAGGGAGTGGGCTCCTTGTGAACCCAAGAAGTAGTCATTTTAAGTCAACAATGAAGTATTTGTCGGTCAAAGAGAAGACCTTTAACTAGGGCAAGCTGCTGGACCTACAGTTCTTCCCTGCTGGAATGGAAAAGATCAGAGCTGCTTGTTTGTTGGGTTTGAATCGTTTACGGAGGGCTGCCAGTAACTGTTCACTTGTGTATTATTGTGCTATCAGACAGGAGAAATGGCAGTGTGACAGTGCTGACCAGCACAATCACAAACCTTTCATCACACAGTTATCATGGTGATAAAAGTTCCATGGTAGTTGCTCACCCCTCCAAAAACAAATATTGCCTACTCATACAAGAGTGAGAATGGATTTCTGGAAGGTGGTGTCTATTAGCTCACGCTATTGCACCTAACTCCCCGTTACCACTAAATCCAAGTGCTCAGTGCGCTTTGAAGTATTGATTCTCAAAGTGCTCCTGTAAGCAAGGAGGGGCCATGCTCTATCCTCGTTTCATAGATCAGAGATGATGGTGTTAGGCTGCAGTTACATTGAGACATGGATACACATTGCCATGAGCTTGGGCCTGTGGATCTCTGGGTCATTCAATTCAACCTGGCCAGAGCAGGCTCCCTCCTACCAACATGGCGATGGTTCCTCCCTACAGCAAGCCCAAGGAGAGCGATGAGAAACCTGTGGAGTCAGATCTCTTCCTTATGGGGTTGGATTACAGCTTGCAGCTCAGGGTACTTGATTTAGTCAGAGTACTAAAAAATTAAAGTTCTAAAAAAAAAACTAAAAAACTAAACAAAAATTAAGTGGAGTCAGATCTCTTCCTTATGGGGTTGGATTACAGCTTGCAGCTCAGGGTACTTGATTTAGTCAGAGCCAGAAAAATTAAAGTTCTGATTCACAAACACTGGCAGTCATCTAATTTCCATGTATTTTTATGTGAGTTTTCATTCCTTGCTTGTCTTTGAAATGCGGACTTTGTACCATAGCTTAACCAGCTAATTTGCTTCAGTGCTTTGAAGGGGTGCACCTCAACTGTGCAAGTATAGGGCGTGCTCGATAGGCAGGTGATTGTGTGTCTTATTTATCTTCTTTATCCCCCAGGAAGATGAAGTTACTCGTGACAGTCGATTCAATTTTAGTGGCTATGGCATGGGTCACTGCCTCCAAGTCAAAGATGGCACAGCAGTCAAGGCTACTCCACCCAACCCGCCTCCGGCACCACCAAAGGATTCAGATTCCATCAAAAAGAAGTTTGTTGACCGTGCAAAAAGGATTGATACAATATCCCGTGCTGCATTCCCACTCGCCTTCCTCATTTTCAACATCTTTTACTGGATTACATACAAAATTATACGGCATGAGGACATTCACAAGAAATAGGCAACTCTGGTTCACCAGGACTTCTTAGCCAAAGTGACCCACATGTAAATAAACAGTGAAATGTCTTTCTGTCATTCAGACTAAGATTTTCTTTCCCCTCCCAGGACACTGAAGAAAAAATGAACAAAGGGGAAATGAAGTGCAAAAGGAAAAGTGATTGCATAAAAAAATATGCCATGAGACCAGTCAATGAGGGTTCCCCCTATGTACTCTCAGTGTTGTTCTTCCAGATTCAGCATTGATCAGACATCTGCAAATGGGGCCAAATTTTACCCAGCTTTATCATCAAGATATTATCTTTCAAAACACAAGAGAATCAGAAAACAAACAATTCTCGTAAAACATCTGTCAAGAGACTGTGGTGGCTACAGTACAGTGAGTTATAAGAGGACCAAACTTTTTCAGGATAATGTTGCCTTTCTATTTGAAACAAGTCTACCGAGCTACATTCCATGACCATGTCTGTAGTTAGAGGTTTCACCAAGGAGTCCTTTTGTGGGTTGTAAATTATTTCTACTGACAAGAGAGGATAAAAAAAAGAAAAAAAACGATTTATACTTTACTATCCTTGTGGGTGTGCATTTTAATATTATCTTGCTTTACTAGAATTGTAATTTTGGGGTTGAACTTGTGTGTCATGTGATTTATTTGATAGTTGACACTCCAAAACCAGTGAAACTGCCTGGTTTATTTTTGTTGGAAGACAGTGCACTTACTTCATTTTATTTCTGCTGACTTTACATGCAACTTGAGGTGCCAAACTGTATTTTACCTATTGTGCTACCCTGTACCACACTGCTTAGTAAGAACTTGTTTCCTCAAAGGTGTAGCTCAGTTTAGCATTGAGTTTCTATTACTGCTGTCATTGTAGCTGCAATCAATATCTCTATAGGTAAACACAACTTGTTTACAGACCTCTAATTTATATCTTTACTCAAAGTGGCTATCATTTTAAATATCATTAAATAACCTAAGAATTTTAAAACTGTACTGTGATTTTCAGAACCTGTTACCTTTTGGTGCCGGATCTGCGTTATTCAAATCCTTGCTACATGTTTTAAAGTAGAAAATTAAAAAAAAAAAAAAAAAGGTATTTTTGCTTACACAGAAGAAGACAACCTGTAACATAAGACGAATCAAACATTAAAATTTTACACTTGCTGTAAAAGAGTTTATTAAAAAAGGTATTTGTTCAATTTCAATAAAGCTAAATGTGGTACTAACGTTTCTTCACTCTTTTCTTCACTTGCAGCAGCAGGGATGCTCGCACCAGGGCCCAGCTCTTCCACCGCTCTGTCGGCAGAAAGAGGGTGAAAAGCAGCCTTCTGCTGACCCGGCGTAGCACGCCAAATTTCGCTATCTACCCCTCAGCAAAGGGGCTTGTTGCAGCCCCCGGGAGCGTGTCAAGGACTGCGTCGGAAGTGCGGCTGGGGTATGACAGGAGCACTGGCACAACATTTGCCCCTGCGGAGCCCGGCCTGGGGGAGGAGGCACAGAATCACAGAATCGTTAAGGTTGGAAAAGACCTTTAAGATCATCCAAGTCCAACCGCCAACCCAAGGCCGCTGCCGGCTCACAGCATCCGTGCACGGCAAGAAGCTCACCGCAGCTTCGCACGTGCTGTGCCCGGCTTCAGGTTTTCCTAAACTCTCTCCTGGCTTCCTCGCGGCGTCGCCACTTTGGGGAGCCGAAGGACGTGCTGCGAGGGCCTTGCGTCAGGTGCCTCCTGCAGACGTCGTTAACGGCCGATAGCTTAAAAGCAAATTACATTGCACACAGTTCGCTGCCCTTCCCTTGAGAGGCCAAAATACACACCTTGTAGCTGCCCAGCACAGACATGTTGAGTGTGTGTGTGTGTCTGTGTGTGTCTGTGTCTGTGTCGGTCCCTCCCCACGGGGCTACCTGTAACCACCAGGCTTTGTTCCTCTCCCAGGACCGGGGAGGGAATCTAGGGATCTTGAGTCCCAAACAGTTACATAAATTAGCGGTAAAAAGCCAGTTGTGCATTTTATCTCCCCACACCTTCCTCAGCTCTGCGGGCTCTCCTGTCACTTACAGCTGTGATGGAACTGACAACAATCATCTTCATCTCTTTGAGACCCTGGAGCCAGACGTGACTGACAGCTCTGGAAGGGGGAACTAGTGAGAACTCAAGACAACAGTCCAAACTAATTTGCTTTGCGAAATAAGCTTTTTACTCAAATTTAGGTATCATAATATTTGTAATTTTTATAGTCTAAGGTTTGCTTTTATTCCTTTTTAAGGTGGAAGAGTATTTGATTAATGGGTAATGTAGTAGAGGAAAACCCCAGCACAATCCTAGTTCCATGAGCTCCAGCAGCGTGAGGATACCCAGCTGTAAACTGCATTTGTATGGGAAGTTAGGAGCCTTCATTGGTACATAATTCATATTCAGAGGCCACTTTTACCAGTCCCTCGTTCCAGAAACTCTGCTCTAAATGAAGGCGTAATGCCAAGATTAGTGTCAAAGCTCAGCGCCCAGATGTGCGAGCCTATTGCCCGTAACTCCCCCGTACGCCTGCAGACCACTGCAACAGGGATGCAAAACTGTTCTCAGCTGATGGATGTTTGTATGTCCCTTTTTGCAGTGAAGCTCATGTGTCTCCAACCATCCGCATCACAAACTCACTTGCACAGTACTTGGCTGTTAGCGTTGACTAAATAGTTTGCTAAAATATTCTGTTGATTGGATTTGAGGTATGCTGACAGTATCCAAGGGAAGATTGCTCCACTGTTGCCTTATATATAAACGTAGGTCCAGTCATGGGAGTAATCTGTGCACAAAATCCTTGCAGGCCTCTCTCTTTTTGAAGACAGACAGAATTTGTAGCTACGCAGCAATTAGTTGTGAATCTTGAAATAATCTGACTAAATTTTGGACATAAATGATGCATGCAAATGGATAAGGCCCACCAAGCATGGCAATTAGGAATGGTCACATGATACAGAAGAGTTCTCAGGACACTGGTCAGTGGCCTGCGAACCGTCTCACACAGAGATGGTTTGATACCAGACGGGTATCAAAGAGCTTCTTCTGAAAGAACATGGCTGGTGCCAGAAAGTTGTATACTGGCTGAGAAAATGCCTGCAGATAAGAAGTCAAATAACAAGGGTAGCAAGAATTACAGAAGGACATAACTTTCCTAAAACAAATGCTCAGAGAAACAAGACTCAAAAACCGGTCACCTTGCACTCAGGGAAGTAGCAGAATTAAATAGTGAAGAAACTTCATTTCCAGGCACTATTGCAAGAGGAAAAAGAACGGCTTAGAAAATAAGCCCTGGACAAACAGCTTTCGTGAAGCAGGAGAAACAATGGGATGGAAGGAAAGAGGCCTGGGATTAATTCTGAAGAGCTTCCAGACATATTGGAAAACCTGCAGGTTACAATTCTAGCTGGTAAGATAAAATGAAGTCCTTGGGCATTTAAAATGCCTGCATTTAGTTATAAAACAATTATAATTACTTCTAATTTACCAAGAACACTTAAAAAGCTTTAAGCGTGTCTTTAAAGGATGCAACATTAGGTCAGGTCATTGGCATCCTGTTGTTACAGGCTGGAGCTGCGTGGTTCAGTACTCATGGAGAGAGGTTAGCCATCTCCCACCAGAGAGATGCTGTCATGTACTGCAATAAAGCCTCATCAATAAAACAGATCTTTCTTTAAGAAAAATCTTGCTGCAATAGGAGGAAAGTGAAAAAAAAAGTGCAATATGAGATGACATCTCTTTGTGTTCCTTTCCTGTTTCTTTTTCTCCATAATTTTTCAGGCAGCAGAGCCGTAACTTGTGTGTACTGAATCATAGCTGATACGTAGCGTAGCAATAGAGGCTTTTGGGGTCTCCAGTATGAGATACAGCAATTCATAACTGCTGGGGGACAACATGATGCTTCTGGGGTCAGATTTTTCTTGTGCTAGAGAGGTGAGGAGTAAAGGCCAACCCCATTCATCCACCGATGTTGAGATTTTCTCACTCTGCTTCCCTTCTTCCCCAGCATGAGATGCTGAAGGCAACAGGAAAGAGCTGATGGAAAAATAATGTTCATCTCCTACAGGCTGAACTGCTACAGCCCTTCACCTTTGTGCAAACCTGTCATTGACATTGGTGGCACAGGAGCTGCTGACCAAACGTGAGGCACCAGCAAAACTTACAGCCTTACGTAGCTGATGTTATTGAAAACATTGTGGAGGAATCTGGAACTAATCGTTGAGATTATGGGCATTTCCCAGGAAGGGACTCACTGAGCTGAAGTGGTGTCTTTGGCTCAGCAACATGATTCTGCGTCACCTGGAAGTCACATTTCATGAACTTATTCTAAAGATCTGACCCAGTACAATACTGACATTTCTATATTTAGAAATATATTTCTAAATACAGAAAGAAAGATATTTTACGTGTGGATGTAAAAAGTATATGCACAGCTTTCTAATCCTTATTCCTTTAAAATTAGAACATGGTGAGGAACAAAGAAACAAAAGCTGTTGGATGATCTTTGCATTACACAAAGCAGTATGAAAATAATTTCAATTAATCTATTCGTTTTCATTATCTATAATATAGTATCTGTGGAAAATAAGTTTCCGACAGACCTTCAAGGTAATTTTTTCTAATGCTTTTTGACATAGAAATTTGCGTCTTACAATGTTTTGGAAAACTGGAAAACCAAACCAAATCTGCCTAGAGGAACTCCCGCCTGGGAGAATAATCTAAGCAAAGTCACGCTTTCTCCATAAATGCCCCTTACACATTTTTCTTTAAATATTAATCTTCTCTGGTTTGACAGGAAGAGAAAAAGAATATCTTTATGACATTTGAAGATACTTTTCCTACTTTTGCAGGGAAAATGTGAAATATCATCCCATTTAGTGCTAAATTGCAGAACAAGTGCAGATTCACCAGTCCCAGACAAACTCATATAGCCAATTTACTTTCAATGTGTGTGTAGTGCTCACTAAAATCAGATGCGAAAAAAAAAAAA